TGCGTTTGTATAATTGACCTGATTTGCATAGAATGGAATTATGGTATATGTCACCCACACAAGTCCCAGATTACAGGCTGCCATGCTGAAACCCAGCGCTGCACTAAAAACCCACACAGTGCCACCCATGACACCTTAAAGGATTAGTTCACTTCCAGAGCAAAAATTTCCTGATAATTTACTCATATTCATGTCTTTCTGTCTTCAGTCGCAAAGAAATTAAGGTTTTTGAGGAAAACATTCCAGGATTAATGGACTTCAATGGTGGCCAACAGGTTGAAGGTCAAATTGCAGTGTCAATGCAGCTTCAAAGGGCTCTACACGATCCCAGCCAAGGAATAAGGGTCTTATCTAACTAAACGATCGGTCATTTTCTAAAAAAAAAAAAAATAAATCAATATGCTTTTTAACCACAAATGCACGTCTTGCACTAGCTCTGCACTGCACGTCCGCAAAGTCACGCATAACATAATCACGTTGGAAAGGTCACGCACGGTTAGCTCTTCGTCTGTGTTCACAGGTTCAAAATGGTTGGGTTGGGCAAAAAACTCCATCTCATTTTCTCCTCCAACTTCAAAAACATCCGACATCGTTGTTTTACCTTTTTTTGTAGGAGCATTTTACTTTCTTTGCACGTTCACTTTGCAAACACTGGGTCGGGACTTCCGCCTACATCATGTGTGACCTTTCCAGTGTGACTACGTAATGCATGAAGTCGAGCTAGTGCAAGACGAGCATTTGTGATTAAAAAGTATATAAATTTGTATTTTTTTAAGAAAACAACCGATCGTTTCGCTATATGAGACCCTTATTCCTCGGCTGGGATCGTGTAGAGCCCTTTGAAACTGCAATTTGACCTTCAGTCCATTGGCCACCATTGAAATCATGGAAAAAAAAGTTTTCTTTTCCTCAAAAAGCTTAATTTCTTTGCGACTGAAGAAAGAAATCATCAGGAAATTTTCATTCTGGAAGTGAACTAATACTTTAAAATCGTTAAAACAACACAACATAGTTAACCGAGCATAACAGGCCCAGATTTTGAGCAGATCTGTCCTCACAATCACTCTCTGCCCTCACTCACGGCACAGTACTGCACAGTTTGTCCTAATGTTTGTGCACTTTTCTCTTCTTTTGTCTTGTTTTTCACTTCTGCATGGACCCTCTTCTACCCCTCCACATGTCTGCATGACATTCTCCCACCCCTCCCACGTGTGTGCTGCATGTCCACGCTGCTGACCTCTGACCCTGCCCACGGCTCTGACACCCAGGACCACTCGGGCAAACTGGGCGCTGAGGAGTTCAAAGCCTGCCTTATCAGTCTGGGCTTCGATATCGGGAACGACGCACAGGTACACACACACCAACACCAGTCAGGGAGTTCAATCATTAACCACACTCTTTTTGTTTTGTTTTTTCCTTTCTACTCTCTTTTCCTTTCTCCTTTCACTCGGTCTCATTTTCCCTCAAACCTTCCTCTAAAATGACTTCCTTCGCCTATACCTACCTTCATCTTTCTCTCCACTACTACCTGGTTCTGTTTGTCCCTGGTGGGTTCCTGTAGAAGAGAACAGGCATGATGGATGCAGAAGACTTCCGAGCCTGCCTCATCTCCATGGGTTATAATATGGTAAAGCAGAGAGTTCAAATCTCCATGGGTTGTGATCAGGTTAAACTGAGAATTGTAGTCCCCATGGATAATGAACTGGTAACTCATATAATCTGAATGTGTTGTAATATGGATAAACTGATAGTTATAATCCCTCTGGATTAAACTGGAAAATCAGAGATTTATGATCAACATGAGGTATAATATGGTTAAGCAGTTTTAATCTCCATGTTTTATCTGGTAAATCAGAGTTATCATCTGGTTTCGGACAGATTTTGTGGGGTTATATTTATGTGGGTTATTATTTTAGTAAGTATTTCTGGAAAAGGTAGCATAAACTTAAAAAAATCCATGGATTATAGTCAAGTTATAATCCCTATTGAATAGAACTAAACAGAAGTTATAATAGAGATTTATATCTACTACATGGTATATAACCTGGAAAAAGAGATTTATAATCAACATTGGGTGTCCATCTTATTTTGAATGTAAGAGATGGTGCAGCCATTTTTAACTTGAGTGGCTTCTGGTTTCAGCCACTTCCAGTTATTTTAGCTGTACAAAAAACAGTCCGTTATGTTGCTTGATGGAGCAAACTGGTATAGGTTACCATATTATTTGAATTTATTTGCCTAATTATAAACACACTGGTTTGTTGCACAAATAGTTTTACCGTTTACTGCACTTTGTTATTCTAGTTATTTATCTACAGCGACTAATAAATCTGAAGTCTCACAGGTTCACTGGAAATAGCTGACTTCCACATTGAAAAATAAGGTGGATAAAAAGCAGAAAGTTAGAATCTCAATGTAATATTTGGTAAGGCGGAGTTTCTGAACTCTAGATTAGTTTGGTCTATGTGGTTTGGTCTATGTGGTTCAGTGTTATTTTAGTATAATTTATATTCTGTTAAAATATTTATTAATGTTTTAAATTAGCTAATATTTTTCCATTTTCATTTTATTTCCTTTTATTATTATTTTTTTATATATTGTTTTTTTCCAGGTTTAGTTTTAGATATTTTAATACTTCAGCTTACTTCAGTTAGTTGCCAAGGCAACATTTTTAATTATTTTTTTTTCATCAAATATTTATATTTTATTTTTCTTCCCGCAAATGATTTTGTAATAGTTTAGTTAACAGTAACAACACTAATGTGAGACTGAGAAATTTTCTTAAGTATTCTTGGAAAAAAACAAACATATCATCAGCTATGCTAACCCAGTGAGGAGCAATCTTTCATATTGTTTTCGTAGTGATTTTTAAGAAGCGTTTCTCTGTTCTGTAGGGAGAGGCTGAATTTGCCCGCATCATGAGCATTGTGGATCCTAACAGACTGGGAGTGATCACATTCCAGGCCTTCATTGACTTTATGTCTCATGAGACGGCCGACACAGACACTGCTGATCAGGTCATGACATCCTTTAAAGTCCTTGCTGGAGACAAGGTACATATACACAATCCAGAAATCACTTCCCAGTGTTAAAGTGTCTAAATGAATAACTAAATGAATAACTCTCTCCTCATGCAGAACTATATCCTGGTGGATGAGCTGAGGCGTGAGCTCCCCCCTGACCAGGCCGAGTACTGCATCGCCCGAATGACGCCTTACACTGGCCCCGACGCCGTCCCGGGAGCTCTTGACTACATGTCCTTCTCCACTGCCCTCTATGGGGAGAGTGACCTCTGAACCGTGACCCCCCGCATCTGGGGTCAACCTGCCTTCTGATACAAACACACAAATACGTGTATTCATACACACACACATAGCTCGCGCACAATGAGAATAAAAGTGGCTCTTCAGTGCTGATCTAGCACCAACAAGCAGAGCTGGTCCCAGATCAGCCCATCAGCACCACTCAATGACGTTCGGTCATTTTTGTATCCTCCTATCAGCCCAGGCCCTTCCTGTGTGTCATATACAACTTCCTGTTCTTTCTCCAGCTGTGTTCATGAAGCCTATCTTGCCTGTCTTGGGGATTGTGTCACAAAGATGCTTCCTTCACATGCTTGTCAGAAGATCCTACTTCCCACTGAAGTCGTAATTATGAGTTTGTCACATTGAAGGAGAGAATAGGAAATCCTGAGACTCTTTTCTCCATGTAAATGTACAATACGCAACAAACGGTTACAAATGTACTGTACATAAAGCACGTGGTAGGCAGCATCATGTCATCCTTGTGACCCATGTGATACTGCATGACCATGTGCTACGATTGATCCGCTTTTTTTACATAGAGTTAATGCTTGTTGATGAGACTGTTTTTTGAACGTTTTCTTGTGATGGTGAGTCAGACTTCATGAACAGATCTTCCCCTTTCTGCTTCCAAGTGCAACATTGAAAAACTCCCTCCCAGGAGGAATGTTTTCTGTATTTTTACTTCTTATTTTGTTTGTTTGTTTTTTCCTCTTCATAAAGGAATAAAGTTAACATATTTTACTATACAGAACAAAAAAAGGTATTTTTCTTCACCTTATTAAAAAACTTTAAAAATTATGAAAATTTAAATAAAGAAACAATCACAGTTGTGTGTTTGTGTTTTTATTTGCTTGTGTGAAGGAGAAATGTGTTCTATTAACTTAAGATAATGATTTATTTTAATGTAGAAAGGAAAGGGGAAAAAATTAGGAACATGTTTATAACTCATTTTAACATTTATTCATTTTATTCACTCAAATTATGAATATTTAAATTAAATTAGCTGTATATTACCTAAAGAAACAGGAAAGTGTAGAAGAGCATAAGAAATCCTATATTTTCAGATAATGTACATAATTTATTTCACTTAGCTGTTGATAAAATACATTGATTAGAGATATTGATGTGCTATATTGGTTTTGTGTGTTCTTTGACCTGTGACATACTAACAAACACCATGAAAATAGTTTAATTGTCTAAGTAAAAGGAAAAGATTATTTATTTATTTCACCTGCTTCGATTGTGACAGTATTTTTTCCATCTTAGATGGCCTCACAGGAAAAGAGCATTATGTAGAAGTTTAGAGAGTACATCGGTGTATAGATAGATGGTCTCAAAGCTAACAGTTTTTTACTAAAAGCCACAAAACTCTTGTTTTGATTTCTTGAGTTTTATTATGTTTTCTGGTTTGAAGTTCCTTGCTAAATTTATTTAGAAATTTGATTTCTATGACAAAGATCTAGTTAAAGTATAAGTTAACAAGGTTAACTTAATAATTGATTTTCAAGCTCTAGACTAGAGTTTATAACTCTAATATAAAGTTAAGAGATCTATTTGTTCCTTTATAATTTAACTAAACTAACCCTGAAAATGTGCTTTCAGTTGTAATTCTCACACACAGTAATGTAATATCCCTCATTTTTAAAGTGGAACCAGTGACTCCTTTCTTAGTTCTACACGGACGCAATATGAGGCTGTACGATGTCGCTGCGGGGATTGTGGGTTTACATGGCGGCGCCCGGTGAGCCATGTTGAATTATGTCCTACTGACTTTATTCTGAATAATGTGAAATTGTAGAATGACATACTTGATCTAAACATGTGGAATCAAGTTCGTAAACTCCAAAAGAACAGGACAGTGAAATATGGCATCCCGATGCTGGTGAGCGCTTTAAAATGTGTTGAGTAATGTGTAAGATGAGCTGTCATTCATTATCGTCGTGTTTATAATTACGATTTAAAAAGTTGTGTAACACACGCCTTAGTAATAATTAGATCGAAATCATGGTTTAAATAATAATAATATTTATTGTCATTTACTGTAATAATAAATCTAACTGTTGTTTAATTGACGGTCAACTGTTAATTTTGAAAATTGAGTGTGATGCAATTTTTGTCCAATATTAGTAATATTTAATGAAGGTTTTTTTGTAAGTTTTTTTACGCAGTAATATGAAAATATTATGTAAATCAAGTCATTGATGCCTTAACAATGAAAAAATAAATACAAATATAGGATAGAGAGTGACAAGAAAGAATATATTCTCAGATAATTCAATTCTAGGTTCCAGATTTTGACACGCGTTGTTTGTTTGTTTTTTTATTATTATTATTGTTGATATTGATGATGTCACACTTTTTCAATGTGCAATATATTTTACAAGTTCTCTTTTTCTATGTTAAACACTGTTGTCAACTTTCTGCTTTTGTAAATCAATAATGTAGCCTGCTCATAATGAGACACCCTAGTGTTCATATTTCTGCTCATATAATGTTTGTTTGAAGCTGCTGGTTGTGGGAGGGTCGTTTGGATTGAGAGAATTCACTCAGATTAGATATGATGCACAGAAGATAAAAAAGAAGGTATGTAAAACTTAATAGACTAAAATATAACATCATATAATCTTTTCATGTACAGGCCAAGTGACAATGACAGAACTTCAGCCAGAACCCATTTATGCTGTACAATAAAACATTATCATAGTTTATCTATTATCTTTTTTTTTTTTTTCGTGTTTCTTTTAGCTGGACCCTGCACTGGAAGCACGGGTGAACAATAAAAAACAGTCGGCCATCCTTCAGGAAGAGTATGAGGTAATGAGAGAATGAGTGATAGATGGAGAATCTGTGTGTGTGTACTAATGTTTTATAGAGCCATCTGCTGTTTTGCTGTGAATTGGAAGTTACATTTACTTGCTAGTGAGGTTGTGGTAGCCTAATGGTTAAGCATCTGGCTTGTTAAATGCAGTCAGTGCAGTTTTGGATCTGACACAGGGTGACTCAGGAACCGTAATCGTAATTTTGTTATGCAGTTTGTCAAGCAGGACACGTAACTAGGTTTCTCCAGGGAGACTGACTGACCCGGCAATTAACGTGCTGTAAGTTATTTTGGACAGAAAGTGTCTAGTTAGCGGTTTAGTCTTAACTAAGTGCACTGGATGGCAATTGGTTCATTTAGCATCTCCATTTCAGGCTGTGGGTGGTTGCGGCTGTCCACAGAACAGCAAAAACAGACTGTCATTATACTGCAATGGTGATTCTCTTTGACTTTAAAAACGTTATTTTTAGCCTTACTGCCCTTATAAGAAGTTACAATGCCATTAAATCTGACCTTCTAGATAGTAGTAGAAGAGTGCCTTCAAGTGGAACCAGGGAAATTTAGTCATTATAAACCACTTTACAGCTGTTCATTAGATGATAAATATTAACTCGGTCATGCTTCATCCTAATTGTTTTATTTTAGATCTTACATTGACCCACCATGAATCATAAAACAAATAAGCGCCCTGCTCTAGCTGACTCATTGTTGGTAACTTAAGTACACTTCTGTTTGGGGTCATGAAAATTTAATTCAAGTTGATCAAAAGTAACAGCAAAGACATTTATAACATTATAAAAGATTTCTATTTCAAATAAATGCTGTTCTTTTGAACTTGTAGTCTTCAAAGATTCTGAAAAAAGCTATCATGGTTTCCACACAAATATTGAACCGCATAATAATAAGAAATGTTTCTTGAGCACCAGATCAGCATATTAGAATGATTTCTGAAGGATCATGCGACACTGAAGACTGGAGTAATGACTACTGAAAATTCAGCGTTGCCACCACAGGAATAAATTAAGTTTCGAAATATATTAAAATAGAAAAGTGTTATTTTAATTTGTAATAATATTTCACAACACGACTATTTTTACTGTATTTATGATCAAATAAATGCACATTTGGTCTGCATAAAAGACTTTTTTCAGCAACATTTTTTAACATTAGTGTATGTGCCATAGCATTCAGGCCATTTATTAAATTAGCAACAACTTGATTAGACCGTTCAATGCATTTTCTATGAATTTCTTTGTAGCTTTTGAGATCTGGCATTTGCCATTAAATTGCTGTGTGTGTTTGATTGTGCATTTGATTCGTGGCTTTGAAAAAATATTAATTTCATATAATGTAATCTCTTTTGTTTCTATAGAAAGTGAAGGATTTGGACTTGGATGGATGGAAGAACATTCGTGGCCCACGTCCCTGGGAGGATTCAAAGGAGCAGCAGCAAGCTCAACTCAATAAAGGCACATAGAACTCTAAAACCTTAAACTCCCACTGCTGGTCCAAAGATGTAAGACACTCATAAAAACAGTGCAGTGTATGGTTGTCACCATATAATAAATTAGCACCTCATATGTTGTTGTTATTATTATATATAGATGAGGAACTACTAGTTTGGATTCTGTTGGCATATGGAATGCCACTTTGTTGTCGTTTTTGGAAATATGTGTCCTAATACACGTTTAGGAATGTGTGGCTGGGTATGTGTATAGCATTATCTCTCTGTCCAGTGTCTTTGATGCTCCCACTTTTTTTATAGAACTAGTAAGGTTGTAACCCTTATTCAATCTGTGTTACCATGTCAGTTTGCATTCACATTAATGCATAACTCAAGACCCAGCGCTGTATTTGATTGAGTAAAACCCCTTGTTCTTTCAGTGGTGCAAACGGAACCAATGGTGCCTGTGCACATGCTGGGTGAATGGTACAGTGTAAAGGCATACTGCTCGGTGTACACCTCATTCCAGCAAGCATGTCATGGATTGTGTAGGATATGATGATCAGCAGTTTGTACATTATTGTTTTCTCTGCAACAATCTCCAGAAGGTCCAGGTCCTGCTTTCTTGATGAGCTTATTTAGGTCGTTGGTCTCTAGCAGTGTCTCTCGGGGTTCGTGAGTTGATGAAAAGCTAATAATTAAATTGAATACAAAATATAAATAAATGTGGCTGCACAATTAATAATAATAAATCTGAATTTGCAATTCTAGCTTAGTGTGATTATGAAATCAAAGGCTAAAATTTATTCAGCGCCTCAATTCACACCAAATGCTGCTTCTCACAAACTCAATCTCTGTATGTTCAGTGAGCTTAATGTGCATCTTAATGTGGAACTCAATGTGTGCTAGGTTCACTTTTACACATTCGCACAATTTCCAACATTTCTGTGGATAGAACTTTACATAATTTCACTTGTTTTCTGCCAAAATAAAAGCTTGAAGATATTAACATTTGACAGTTAAGAATTTACGACATAAATCTTAGTATTGTAACTTGTAAAAAATTATATATATTAGACCTTTAATTATCAAATATTAATTTTATTATTTTACAGGACAAATGTAATTTAAAACCATAATGTATTTATGTCTTCATTTTTGTAAATAGACTCACTTGCAAGCCATGTGCACCATTAACCAACATCAGAGAACCATGAACATGTAAATGGGCCTTCTTGTGCATTGCTACTGTGTTTTTAGTCCATTAAAGTCTGTTGTAAATGTGAATCCCCACGTATCTGAATGAATGAATCTATCTCCATGTCTCAGCCATGGCCCATTTACCTCTTGAAGTTGATTACCAGTTTCTTTTCACATTAATTTGCGAGAAAATAAGTTTAGAAACTTGCTTATTTTTAGAGTTCCGTTTGGTGCTACAAGTTGTATGGAAATTACTCTTTGAATTTTAACAGTATTTATGCCAATAGTCATATCTATTGTAGCTTTAAGCAGAGATATTTTACAGGATTAAATACCATGGACCTCCCATTTTAGGAGGTAACTCCACTAATTTAATTTTGTTTTCTTTACAAAAAAATTATTTACCAAAATGATTCTTTATAAAATAAAAAAGCAATAAGTTGGATTTTAAACAACTATGTAGTTTGTAGTTTACAACACATTTTTACTGATGCTTTCAGTAAGACTATCAAGTCATTTTTGACATTATCTTGGTGACAAATCATCAGAATTTGCAACAAAAATGTAGAATACATCTCAGAAAACCAAATGTTTAAGTTCGCAAGGCATAAAAATGGATGTACAAGATTTTCGGTGGCATTGCACAGCTAGCCTGAAAGGACCAGTGACTGTCAACCACTGTTCTCTCAGCTGGCCCAAAAATCTCTCTCACTGGCCCCAGGCCAGCCAGCCATCCTTATTGTTGAGCCATGTTTTGTGATTTATATTATAATTTATTGTGATAATCCTACCTTTAGCCCCCAAACTTTTCGGTTGACTGTGTCTGTGCTCATTTTGTGGTTGTGGTGATTTTCATGCTGCTCATCATCGTTATCTATTGTACGGTGCAACCTGCACATCATCATCCATAAATGCATCGGTGAGATGCTACACAGCAAGCGCTAATATCTGGGTAGAATATCACCTCCTGCTGCTTTGATCAATGCTACACCTATGGTGATTTTTTTAAAAGGTTGCATCTTTGGTGTATATTGCATCCAACTGTGAAGCAGCACGGTCTTGATTCAGTCCTGGAGTGCACATGTATTTCCATCAGGATTCGGGCATGGGCTGCTGCTCTCAGGCTAATGTTAACGCCAGCACTGACTCATCTGTGTGATGGGAAGCTTTGTTCCGAGGCACATTTTAACAAGCCCCTGCTGACTTTCCCTCTTTCCCCTTGTCACTCTCCTGCTGGAAATTCCAGCACTGTCATATCATGTGCTCCGTCACTTTAATTGCTCAAGTGGGAATGATCCTCTGGGGCCGAAGGGAACGTTAACAAATCTGACTTCAGGAGTCCAGATATCCTCAGGGGGCATTAAAGCCACTCATGTGTCCAGTTCAAGTCAAAACAGTGTTGACAGGGAAAGGCTGTAGTATGTTTCAATAAGCTTGTTGAGATGTTTTGGCTGGTTAGGTGAGGAGCACAAAAACAGACTAATTTGTTATGACGTGTTGCTGTAGTAAAGAAGTACTTTTATAATAGCGAATTCTCTAGGGGACATTAATTTGATGCTGGTTGAAAGTGTTTAATTTATCATTAATTTGTCATTAGCCTATCAATAATTAGTCTATTCATTTATGCAATATTAATTTAATAAATAATAAAATTAGACATTTGTTCTGTATTTTGCACAGTAACCAATTATTTGCTATAATTTGGTCTTTAAAAAGGTACTTATTCAAGATGTGGTTAGCTTTCATTCTCACTTAATTGTATATTTCTTATATTAAAAATGTCAACGATTCTGTGTTTTTCTGTCAATATGGGGTGCTGTGTGTACATTAATGAGGAAAAAAAATTAACTTAAATGATTTTAGCAAATGGCTGCAATATAACAAAGAGTGAAAAATTGAAGGGGGTCTGAATACTTTCCGTACCCACTGTATGTATGTATGTATATATATATACACAAAAAAAGAGTAAGGTTTTTCTTGTTTTTGAAAAAAGGCTTTTATTCTCACCAAGTAATTTCTTATTACTATCAGTGTTAAAAGGATAGTTCACCCAAAAATGACAATTCTGTCATTAATTACTCACGCTCATGTCATTCCAAACCCGTAAGATCTTCATTCATCTTCATAACACAAATTAAGATATTTTTGATGAGATCTGAGAGCTTTCTGACCCTGCATAGACAGCAAGGTATCTACCATAGTCAAGGACCCAGAAAGGTAGTAAGGGCATCATTAAAATGGTTCATGCGTCGCATGCGTCGTGTTACTCTCGATAATGGCGGTAGATGGTAACTCGCGGGAGAAGAATTGTTGAATAAAGTTGTTATTTTTGTTTTCTTTGCGCACAAAGTATTCTCGTAGCGGGTGGGGAGACGAATTGTTGAATAAAGTCGTTATTTTTGTTTTCTTTGCGCACAAAGTATTCTCGTAGCTTTGTAAAATTACGGTTGAACCACTGATGTCACATGGATTATTTTAGCGATGTTCTTAATACCTTTCTGGGCCTTGAACGTGGAAGTTACCTTGCTGTCTATAGAGGGTCAGAAAGCTCTCAGATCTCATCAAAAATATCTTAAATTGTGTTCCGAAGATGAACGAAGGTCTTACGGGTTTCGAACAATGCGAGGGTGAGTATTTAATGACAGCATTTTCATTTTTGGGTGAACTAACCCTTTAATGATCATAGTGATATCCAGTTTAATACAAGTTGAAATGAATCTAGTTTGGTGTTTTTGGTGCTTTAATCTCTTTAACAACAACATTAATAAGAACTATTATTAATAATTGAGCACCAATAATAATGAATAATAACTGAGCATCAAATCAACATATTAAAATGATTTCTGAAGGATCATGTGACATTGAAGACTGGCGTAATGGCTGCTGAAAATTCAGCTTTGCCATCACAGGAATACATGACATTTTAAAATAAAAAAACGCTTAAATCAAATAAATGCAGCTTTGGTTAGCATAAGAGACTTGTTACAAAAACATTAAAATATTTTGACAATCCCAAACTTTATATATAATTAATGACAGAATTTTCATTTTTGGGTGAACTATCCCTTTAAAAACAAAGGAAATTGTCATAATATTTCTAGGATTTTGATGGATAGAAAGTTCAAAAGAGCAACATTTATTAGAATTGTGTGTTTTCTGTAACTTTTGACCAATTTAATGCATAAATAAAAGTATTTCTTAAAACACACACACACACACAGTACTGTATGTCGCTACTTGGATAAAAATGCTAAATGTTACCAAAGAGTTAAATGCCTTGCTCAAAAACCCAGACATGACAGTGCTGAACTGTGATCTCAACAACTCCTCAGTCGCCTCGGCTTGACAAGCAGTGTTGACTTGAACCCGTAACCTCTTCCGCCCAGATCCTTAACCATTAGATTAACAACCCACTAACAGATTTATGTGGACAAGCCTCCTTTACTGCAGTGTGAGGAAGCCAATTCTCCCTGAAACCCTGAGCAATTTATCTGACTCCTCCACTAAGGGTGGCACTTGCACTGAAATTAGACCTCTTGAACTACAGTCAGACTTCCACCACAGAGCTAGAGCCTTATTGATGTTAGGAAACATCTTTATTTTTTATTCGTAATTGCAGCGATGGACATTTCAGCCTAATTCATTTCAATTTCACTGCTGCAGAGGAACAAAATGGGCCTGCAAATGTTTAAATGTATGATGTTGCCTTTTGGGATTATGTGTATGTGTGCGCTTCTAAAATTAGTTTTGCAGATTAAATCATGAACAGTGTTTTAGAAATCTAGCTTGAATGAATGAATGATTTCTTAGGCATTGTCAAGCTTCATGTACAGTGTAAATCCCTGCTCCACAGATTCCCCTCTTCCCTAAAGTCTGAGGGAATATTCTGTAACCTTATTTCATGTAATTTTTCTATTATAATGATATTCACTAGTT